AAAAATAGAAAGTAGTAACGCTACTCATTTTCTTTGAGGACACCGCAATCGTTTACAAGGACAACCCTCGATGGTTTCCCATTTGGAGTACCATACGACTCCAAAATCTTGACATACTGAAACCCTTTCGTGACCTGGCCAAAGACGACGTGCTTGCTGTCAAGCCACATGCACGGCGTGGTGCAGATGAAGAACTGAGAACCGTTGGTGTTTCGACCTGCATTGGCCATAGAAAGGATACCGGGGCCTTTGTGTCGTCCAGCCTTTCCTTGGAAAGACTCATCCCTGAAGCGTGTCCCGTAAATGGAACAGCCGCCGGTGCCGTTTCCGTTCGTGATGTCTCCCCCTTGTATCATGAAGTTCGGGATGATGCGATGGAATACACAGCCTTTGTAGGAGAGTGGTTTACCCCCAGGGGCCTTTCCAGGGGCGCCGCGGCACAGCTCCCTGAAGTTACGCGCTGTGACGGGCACCGTGTCGTCGAAGAGCTCAAACTCGATGCGGCCAATAGGGGAGCGACTGGTTGTATCGAGGAAGCTTGTTCCAGTATACTCGACAACGTCAAAGAAAACCTGCGAGTTAGCGGGATTCGTTGGGTAGGGTTGTAGGTAGCTCATCTCTGCCTCGGCCCTCTGCTTTTTGAGTTGCGCATGGGCCGCCCCCCCGAGTAAAAAAGCGCATGCAAAGCGAAATGGCATTCACGCGAACAGCTTAGATATCTTAATGATTTAGGAGGAGGGATTGTAATCTGCTGAAGTAGTAAATGTCAAGTATGCTGTCAATTGATAGAATATTGAGAAATACATAAAATCATGATCACCTTAATTTGATTTTTTTTCCATGGCTAATCCCCCTTTCCTTGCCTACTAATAACCAGGAGGACGCGGGAGGTTCTGGATACCGCGAGCGATTGCGCTGGCGCCATCGGCAGGAGTGATCCCCCACCCGTAATAGCGCAAATAACAAAACAAAAAGTATACACCTAAAACAATTGGACCTAAAACTGAAATATTTACTACTGTAAGTAGCTTCTTCATCTTGAACTTTTGGTCAATCGGTACCTTTTCAAGCTTATCTTCAAACACACTCAGTTCCTCCTTCCGATTCTTCCATCGGCGGTAGCTCCAGCGATTAATTGGATGACTGTCTTTACTTACTTCCCAATAGGAACGCTCTCGCAAGGCATCTTTTTTGAGGGTTTGATTAAATGCATAAAGCCTCGAAGCATTCACGCGACCAGAAGATCCCCGCCGGACGAAATTAGACATGTCTAAAACAACAGAAAAATGAGTTGAGTGTATCAGACGGAACAGACAAATGCTTTGAGGTGAGATGTCCACCTGCAGCAAAATGAAATTGCGAAGAAATAAAGAAAAGGCAACCATCCGGAAACATTCAGAAGAAGACATTAATGCACACGGCAAATGGTACTGAAAGGATCAATGTTTGAATAAATAAAGAATACACAATTCACTTCTTTTCTATCATGCTGTTTCGTTTTTTTAACGTGGAAAGGTCCATTTCTTGGCAGGCAAGATGCTCTGGGCTCTGGATGTGGAGTCGGTACGCTGACGCCTTGATATGTATTCGGCAAACCCGGCACATGACTGTCTGATCCTTGTTCTGGGTGTGTCGTCCGACATGAATCCCATTATTCTGTCCCACCTGCCTCGAATCACTAGTCGCGGTTGCCTTCCGCCTCCGCCGATGTGGTTGGCAGCGTGGTGGGACGCGCCCCTCTTGCAATCGCTCTAAATTCTCCATCCTCGTATGCTTTTCGGGGTAGCCTGGAAAATGCTCCGCTAAGTATTTCTGGAAGACGGGAAGATGATCAACGTTTTTGTAGAGCTGTTTGAATTGATCGTATAAAATTGATATAAACGTTGTGCTGTTTTCAATCAGCATACCGGTAACTTTATTGCGCCTCTTCCGCCACTGCAATCCGTATTGACCACAGACTCGGTCCAGATCCCTCTGTTTGTCCGAATCGAGCCTAAGCCTATCCTTACCGTCTGACTGATTGATTCGCATGAGAAATCCAGAGAGGCGCTCAAATGGTGTCGCATTAAGTCCGATAAACCCACCCCTGTGCACATCGAGCGGGGGTGGGACACCGTACTTGGCCAAATGATCCTCCAAGGTTTTGAGGCACTCCTTCCATGGGTATGGACCCTCGGTGCCATATGTTCGCCACTGAGGAAGGGACTCCAAGTCGCGGATCTGATAGGTTTCCAGAAACGTCTGTTGTCCGGCCAGGTACTGTGCGTATCCACGGCGAGCGTAGCAGTAGAAGAGGTTCATCGAAACGGAAGTATCCCCAATCACCCAGGCATCGTTTGTCTTGGGGTACCGATTACACTCCAGGACGATTCGCTTCAGCTCGGCGAACGCCTGCTTCCATGGTAAACGCGCGGCGCGACGGAGCCGGTCTGTCTGCGAGTTGGAGTAGCGAACACCCCGACGAATCGCAGGGAGAATGAACTTTTGAATTTCTTCTGAGCTTAACTTCAAGGCGCGGACGCCAACCACGTCGATGTTGTAACTCTTCCTTTGTGGGTCAAGCATATATTCAAACAAGGTCGGATCCTCATCCATGAGGGCATCTGTAAAGGGAACAAGTGTCGAAAAGTTCTGAAGATTAATAGGACTATTGGCAGGATACTCGGAGTTGATTGCGGCAGGCAAAAACACATAAGAATTGGGCTTGTTAGGAAGTTTATTGAGCGGGCGGCAAATACTCTGGATGATATCGCGCGAGCTGTAGCGAGGCGCCGCAAAGAAGACAGCATTTAGATCTGGTATCTCAACACCTTCCTGAAAGAGCCGTACATTGAACAGAATAGCGCGCTGAGCCCCAGAAAACTTATCCAATGTGTCAGCGACACCCGCACCCCCCATGAGCGAGTGGGCGACGAATATTCGGAGAGGCTTCAGTTCTGTTGGTTTGGCAGTGTCCATCGCTAGCTGCAACGATTTGCCGAGCTGTTCAGCATGTTCGATGTTTCGACAAAACACCAACATCTTGTCAACTCGACTCATAGCCTCGAAAAAGTATGGATTCATGTCATTTAAGGAAGCACCAAGAATAATACGAACCGAAAAAGGGTTGACGTGCCCAGAATCAATGCCTTCACGTAGGTAATAGCGGTAGGCGATCCCGCCAAACAGATTCTCGTTGTTCATGCGCAAAGGGGTGTCATAAGTGGGGGTTGCTGTAAGAAACAGACGACGCCCACTCGGTGGAAGGTGGAGGATGGTGTTGAATGGTGTCTTGTCCGAACTTCCGCAAACCCGGTGGCACTCATCAAAGACAGTGAGCGCGAAAACATTCATCTGCTCGAGCAAGGGGGATGAGTGATAAGTAGAAAAAACAACAATGCGTTCATTCCTTCGAACAGTTTCATGAATGAGAGCTGGGTCTGTGGTCATAGTCACACTGTAGTCTGACTCTAGAAAAATCGGGTTGGGATCTGAGCCTATGAGTAACAAAGGTGTCCCTTTCAGGCCGTAATGGTACAACTTCTTGACGGTTTGTCGGAGTAGGGAAAGACCAGGAACTAGATAAAGCAGCCGAGCGCTCATACTGTTACCCCTGTCTACAAGAGTCTCCTTCATAATATGGAAAGCAACTGGCGTCTTTCCGCAGCGGCATGCCATCTGGCAAATGGTCTTTCCACGTATCTCAAGTTCTCGCTTCACTCGTTCAACTGCTTCAATCTGGTAGGGTCGAAGCTCCTTTAGCGTGTAATTTTCAGCGTCGACGCGGATGATACTTGACCTTTTATCCGTCAATTTATCGAATTCACCCCATTCATCATAGAATAGTGGTGCTTCAGCGACAGATTCGTCTGAATAAGGTAGCATACGCGATGCTAGAACACCATTATCCGAAGCGGATGTACACAAATCAGGCGTGCGATGCTTTATACTGTTCAGTAGATGCATATAAGGCATAATGGATAGCTCGGATCGATTTAGGTGATGTGCTGGATCTATTTCATGACTACTGTTTTTACCATTAGTGAAAGCAACTTGTGAAGTGCCCCCCAAGTGCAGTGATTCATCCTCCTGTATGTCAACACCGCCTTGCTTGGAGTATTCAGGCCTCTTCCTTTCTACAACGTTGATATTTAGTGTTTGGACAATAAGGCGAGTCAATTCGGCGACCTCATCCTCTGTCGCACGTATCAATTCTCTATTAGCCACGCGTCTTTCGGCTACGCAGTACAAAACGGACTGCTCGAGCAAAAGCGCCTCCTTCGCTGCTTCACACTCAAAAACAACATGGTAGTACCATTCTGGAGTGAAACATGTTTGAAATGATGCCATTTGCAGCCGCGTCTCGAGACTTGTGCTAAATCCAATTTTAACAAAGCCTGAAAGCTTCAACCAGGGGTGATTGGCAATGTAAAACCCATTGCGTCGTCGTAAAACGAGGCCACATGTCAGCATCTACTTTTTCATTTCACCACCTACGCGTCATTCATGAGAAAGAGATAAAAAACAAGAGGAAACAATGATGCAAGGAATAAACTCAGTGATAAAAAGGTATACATCCATCACTTGTATGAACAGACATAAGTGCTTACCCCTAGGTCCATTAATGAGAAAATAGGGTATAAAAAAAGTCGAAGCGCATCCTCCTAAAACATTCGTAATATCTCCAGAAAGGAGATCGGAAGATTGGGGAGAGCCTTCAGCGCTTCCTTAACATACTCGATGTTGCGCCATTTAGGATCCACCTCGATGTCACTCCATGTAAAAAATGGTGGTGCTTGCGGCGCACGGCGAAGGAGCGGTCTCAGTGCAGTAAGAAGTATCACACTAAACGGCACTTTTTTAACGCTGAGGTGCTTGAGAACAAAAAAAAGAGTAAGTGCTTGGAGTGGAGAAGGCAAAAGACGGGTTGCCGAGAACGAAGTGAACTGGCACCACGCTTCCTCCGCTTGGGCAACCACATGACCGGGAAAGGCCTCGTTCCATGACAAGACAACAAAACGCATCGCCCATTGAACCTCACCCGACGCATTTCTACTCGCATCAAAGAAACCCGTTGATAGGCATAGTACGTCGTGAACAAATTGGCATAGCAATCTCATATTCTGTTTACTTGTGTACAGATCACCAGAGAGCCTTGCCGCAATGTTCTTCACTCTCTCGACCTCTTCGAGGTTCCTTGCCTCTCTTACTTGTGTTGCAGCATACTTCAGTCTTTGGCGGAGCTCCACCACTCGTAATCTCACCTCTCGAAGGTGTGGCAAAGCTGCGCGCACAGTCAGGCCTGAGAGAAGAGATACTATATCAGATTGCTCTGGGCTCGAATCTTTGCTTCTTCTAAAGATATTCTTAAAGCACGACATGGCCTCGGTATATTTGCCCTGCCCAAGAAGCTGTTTAACGTGAAAAAGTGCAATGAAAGGATCGTCTTTTTGAAGTGGGTCATGACGCACTGCTATACCTGTATCAGCAACTAAATTGAAGCAGCGCCAAAGTGACAAAAGGGTTGCTGCGTAGCCGTCCAAAGAGGTGTCGATCCAGTCCTTCCCTTGTTGAATTTCATGCAAGCGGAAGGCACAGAAGTGCCCAGCGCCATCATTTTCCGTCAGCAAGCAGTATGCAAGTAAATCACATAACGATGCAAAATAAACCTTCGAGAACCCACCATAATGTACTTTAGCAAATGCACTCCATGCTTGGATGTAGGGAAATACATATATCGGCCAACAGTCACCGTGAGCTACATTTCATCTTGTACAATCCTACTCAAAACTCGATGTGATGCCGACGGAGAGGCAGAGAAGGCACATCTTAGAAATTCTTCAGCATTCAACTCGTTTTCGGGTGATTGTAACCTATCGTCAATGTCCAACGCCACGGTGTTTAAAGCAGCTTTTGAGCGAAAAAATCATTAATTAGAAGGATCGCACTCTTCACTAGTACAATCAAAGACAGTTCGCCTAAATAAAAGTCTATTTTAACATATTGCAGGCTATTGTCTCCGTCGCTATACTTCAGCTGCTCTCTAATCTGATTTGTATCTTGGTTTGAATGTATCTGCATCACTTGCATAACTCATTCTTTGCCAAATTGGAAAAAGGTCTCTTTTGGGGAAGAAAAAAAACTTAAATAGCCAGCAAGGCACTTGCTGTATCATAAACCAATAAAGCTCACTCCGATTTGCCATCACAAACATTTACACCAAACCACACAGCAATTATTAGCACTTAAAGAATTAATTATGACTTGCATTACATATATATACGTATATAAACATGCATATATGTTTATATACATATACATACAAATATATATATATATATATATTTCTTATTCATTGATTTCTACACAAAAAGAATGTAACAGGTGACCGAAAAAGGAATATCCAGAGACGCTCTGGAAGAAATACTCAGACTTCCTTTTCTTTTGAAGTCTCAATCGCCTCTGCGTTGCTGTTGCTTGGAACTTCAACTTCATTCTTTGCAGTTGCCTTGCCCTCAACGTTCTCTTCCTTAGCCTTTACACCATGAGTACGACAGTTCTCACCAAATTGACATGGAAGGGTATCATGTCCTTGGTGCACAAAGCGACACCTGTCGCCAAACTTGCACTTTCCTTGTTTGAAAAAGCAACAGCCCGTCTGACGCTCCCATTCCTTCTGAGTCTCAAGGCTTCCACCGACAAAAGGCTTTTTCTTTTGAGGGAAAACACCTTGCCCTCCACGTGCAGGCGGAAAGTAACCACCGCG